AGATAACAAGTGTCAGGAAAGAATCTGTGATTTTTTTTTTTTCATATCTGTTTCTTTGTATAACTGCATACCCCTTGTAAGTGGAGATAAACCACCAGATGAACCAATCTACTTTTCTATACTGCATTTATCTTATCGGTATACAGCATCTGACATGCATATTTTAACTACATTCCTTTGAAAAATTGTCTGGGGGAATAAAGGCTTTTAGATAAGTACATAGGAAACTAGTACAAAATTACAAAAAAGATTAACTGTAGCACAGTTCCTTACTACATTAGGGCTTTTTAAAACTTTTTTTATTCATGAAATTCTGATTTTAAGATAATAAATAAAGGAAAAGAAAAAACTATTCACATTCATTACACAAAAAAAAGACTGAGTAATAGAAATTACAGAAAAAGCTTCTATTTTCTCATGGGTGTTCAACAAATCCAAAACCTAACAGCAGATTTAGGGCTTATATTCTTACCATATTTTCTCAAGGACAGCATGGGTTAACATCATGAAGTCAGTGAGGCTACAGCAACACTGAAGTGGTGCAAACGAAAAGTAAGGTTGCTCTATGCACATGGGCTCAAAGCAATTTATCTGAGCCACCCCTTTATTATCTGATCTAAAAATTAGGTCAAATCCTGCAGCTATTGTTTAGTCTTTATCAGATGTATCTTCCAGTGGGTTTAGCTCTACTTTTGGATACACAGGCTCAGATCTCATTCATTGTTTTAACAGGAATTTTTCCCTGTTAGGTTTTATCTGCTCAATTACATCAGTCCTGTTACAGAAAATTCACATTAAAACTTTATATTTGGCTTGGTTTTTTTACAGTTGAAGGTAAAGCTGCCCAATCCCCCTCCTTCCTCCCTCCCTCTAAAACAGTAACATCTTCTAACTGAGCAGAAAAACTGTATCAAAACATATTAGTGACTCACTAGTGCTCCTGATAGGATGTACCTAGAATAAGCAAGAAATGTGTGAATAAATAGGAAATGTGTTTTAGCACTTTCCTTGGCCAATACCTCAGAAAATTTATTATATCTTTCCAGCTTCACCAGGATACATACATTAGGTGTCCCTACTTTGTTGGGCACTGAGATATCTAAAACGGCAAAGTGAAAATTAATCTGAACAAATCTGCTAGTCTAAAAGGATGAAATCCTCACCTCTGCTCTCATGGGGAGACCAACACCCCAGGAAGACGGATTCCATGAAACAGGAAAAATGTTCCTTATCAGAAACAGCCTGCACAGAAGGGAGTAATTTCCCAACATACTCGTGATCCAGGAGTGCAACAGTGATTTGCCGCTAAATGCCCTGAAGACTTAAGGAAGCTGGGATGTTGTCTTTAGACTCACTCTTTTTCTGTTTATAGTGCTAGCATGGGCAGCCTTTGAAAACCATCAGCATCTTTACTCCATATTTATAGATTACTCCTTTCCTGAATAACTGAAGCTCTTGGTCAGAGCAATGTTGCAATTGATTTTCACCAAGAACTTTCATTGACTAGGTTGTTATGTACTTTCTGACACATGCCTGACCCTGCATTAAACAAACACAAGCCACTTTTCCAGGATGCACATTTTTCACACTTTCAAATTACTTTTCAGTTAATTCTATTACACGCTCAGTGAACAGTGATGCTGGATGCTATTTTTTTGTTTGTTTGTTTTAATGGAGTGTAGCTCCAGCCCTTGAGAGGACACAATAATTCCAGAATAAGACATAAGGGCATAAGAGAGAAAAGATAAAAAGAGGAGGAGAAGGAGATGAATAGGGAGAGGGAGAGAGACAAGGAGAGGGAGCAGAGAAGCTTTTCTTAATGTGCTAAGTATGGCTAGTTATGCTACAGTTGTATCTGTCAAGATGAAATCACCAGGTTCAGGTATTAAGATAAATAATACCACTTAAGCAGAGCACTTTACATGCTCCATTTACCCCTCACCTAAAGGTGTCAGTGTTCACTTCTGTGCCAATTAAAAGGGAACACTGCATTGGTGACAAACAAGCAGCTATAGCTGCACACTGATCTGGAGAGATGGACTCTTCTGCCCCTCTAAAGTTTTGGACATCCTTGTTTTGCTAGATTAATAATACTGCATGGACCCCACGTTGCATCCCAGTCTCATGGCACATTGTGTAACCATCAGAACACTCACCAGCTGTGTTGAAAGTTTATCATGAAACAGCTATTATAATGTCAGTACAGATCCAGTCCTACGAAGTCAAAGTTGTGAATGCAGATGAGTATTGGTGTACCCGAGTCCAGAGTTTGAAATGGTGATCTTGTAGACCAAATGACATCATGAAGTAAGGCATATTCCCCACATCATCTGTCTGACTTTCTAAAAAATAGTCGTCAGTCATCTGAGAAATTTATTGAAATCTGTGTAATTGGAAATGGACAATTTTGCAGTGAATGTGCTTTTGCTGCTGGTTTAAAATCTGCTGATTGAAGGCCTAATACTTCAACCCTTAATCCCAAGGAGCCTAAGTGATTTGCCTGTGCCACAGCTGTCCAAGACCCCCAAATTCAGGAACAAGAGGTTAAAAAAAAACTTCAGTAAAATACAAAGTCACATTTGAGTTACAGGTCTACAAAACTCCCTAGTATTTATTTAATTAGATTTTTCTAAAAAAAAAAAAAAAAAAGAGCCACCGAGACTAGAAAAATTACTGAACTGATTTTTCCTCTATTTCCAAAATATACTAAGAAAAATAAACAAACTCTCTACTATGAGCAGCTTCAATAGAAATGTGGACACCTGGGAAGAAATGTCAATTGATATAAAATAGCATTCACATAATTATTATGTGTTCTATAGAAATTAGGTGCATAGTTTTGGCAGCACAAAAAAGTAACTTAAATATCAAGTAAAATACACTCAAATATATATAAAATACTTCCAAACTGTGTTAATTTAATGGCCATCTGTCAAGGGCTACCTGGCAGGACATGAAAATCTAATAAAAACAGTCAATTTAAGAGCCATAATCTAAAAAACCTGTTCAAACATTGCTAAGCCCCTCTGAAGTGCTGACTGCTTAGAAGAAAAAAAAACTGAAATAATTCTCTTTTGTTTCAGTACAAAAAAAAAGAAAATCCTCAAAGTTTTGAAAAGTTTCCTGCCATGGGACAGCACTATGAACACATGTAATGGCATTTCTACTTTTGCAGGAAGACAATAATTTTAATTCCCCTTAACCCCAGGGAATTCTTCTCTGAGGTGTAGTCCTGTACTCAAAAGTACATGTCTCTATTTCCAGTCAGTTACTTGGACTAAAAGAATTCAAAAATGTGTATTTAAATGGAAACTCCTGAGATTTGTATCTGGATGTTTACATAGAAGGTATCTCCTCTTCAAGGATTTAACCATGTAGTACTTTCTCAAGAACAAAAGGAGAATTAAGCTCTAAATGGAGAGTTTTAAATGACAGACAGTCCTTCCTTTAATGTGTCTGTGAAAAGCTTTATTTGGCTGGAAGAATTCTCTTCTACCATTTTAAGTTGTTAGGCACAGTGCAGGAAATATAAGTATGCTGCAAATCCAGCTTCTTATGACCTTTTCTCACAAAAAGTGTTTTTGCTGAGGTGAAAACAGTGGAAGAGAGACAATTCCAGATAATATATTTTGTTCCTATTATACAGAACAGTATTTAATCATGTAAAAGAGAAATGGGAGTCCCCAATGTGACTACTCTAATACAAAGAAAATCATCTCTTTGAAAATTAATGAACATTAAATATTTGTACAGTCAAATGAAGATCTGTTTTCAGGGAACTGGTTGCCCTGTGTTCTTGGGGTCTAAGCCGGGACTGGTTCCAAATAAATACTGAGGTTAGTAGCCATGAATAACAATGATGAAATATTAGGGGTGAGATAATCACTTTCAAACTCATATTACCAATCTGATCACATGATATGCTAAACACACACTTTTTTCTCTGTTAAGGAACAGCAGTTTTATTATATGCCTACAGTGACATATATTTTCAGCTTCACAGAAAAGAACCTGCGTGTTTTGGAGGACACTAAGTTGACTGTGAGTCAACAATGTGCTCTTATGGCAAATAAGGCTAATGGTAGCCTGGGCTGCATTAGAGAAAAAGTATTGACAACAGGTTGAGGGAGGTGATCCTTCCCCTCTGCTAAGTACTGGTGAGGTCAAACCTGGAGTGCTGGGTCCAGTTCTGGGCTCCCCAGTACAAGAGAGACGTAGACACACTGGAACAGCCCAGCAAAGGGCCTCCAAGATGACTAGCATCTCTCCTACAAGAAAAAGCTGAGAAAGCTGGGACTGTGCAGTCTGGAGAAGAGAAGGCTCGGGGGATCCCATCTATGTGTACAAACACCAGATGGGGGGGTGCAACAAGGACATAGTCAGGATCTTTTCAGTGGTGCCCAGTGATGGGATTAGAAGCAATGGGAACAAGATGAAACATAGTAAGTTCATTCTGAACATCAGGGAATATTTTTTCATTGTAAGGGTGACAGAGCAGCAGCATAGATTGCCCAGAGAGGTGGTGGGGTCTCTTTTGTTGGACATACTCAAAAGCCATCTGGACATGATCCTGGGTAACTGGCTCTAGGTGGCCCTGCTTGAGCCAAGAGTTGGATCACATGACTTCCAGAGATGTCTTACCGCCTCAGCCATCCTGTGGTTCTGTGAAAAGAACAGCTATCCCCTCATTTCATAGCTTGCTTTGTTAATATTCCTACTCAGCTTCAGACACTTTTCTTGAGACATAAAAGTACTGTACTCAAGAAATACTGGTTTTGATGCTTTCCCCCCACACAGGGGAGAAGAATGAGATTTTGTTCTTACAAAGAGAATAAACTGAAATTCTTATGAACATTTCTGAAGGCCTTCATTTTAGCATGCATCTGTAACTGCAGAAAATACAAAGCCTAACTGGCTGGAAATAAAATCTCTCTTGAACAGCAGAGATTCCACTTCTCACCTAAGCTTCATCAACACAACACAGACAGCAAAACACTCACATGCAATGCGGACGTAGGCTTTCCGGCTCTTGGTGGTGCCTGCAGAGCTCCAGGCAACACACTGGCACCAGTAATCCTCGGGCCCAAAGAGCTCCTCGACTTGCTGGCGGGAAATCTCAATGCTCACCTCTCGGACAATCAGACCTGTTGGGGCACAAGTAACACTGGTCAGTATTAGGCTTACAGGTAGAAAGAAAAAAGTGCAGATACAGAAGTCTGCTTGCAAAGGTGTTGGGAGACCTTACAGCTCTCTACAAATATCTACTCAGCAACACACACCGTCATAAAGATGTTATTATCTGCATAATAAGAGATGTGGGTGAATTAGCACCTCAGCTAATATAAACTGTACTATGTCTCTAGGACAATTAACATCAAGTGACAATGCAGATCAGTTTTATTTTGATATGAATATCATATAACCACAGAGTCATTCAATTTATACGACTTCCTTAGCCCTTCTGTATTTCATCTCCTTTTGCTAGACAGACACAGCACAGGGAAAAGTCCTGACGCTGAATTGCCCAGGCAAAAGGATTTTACCAGGGCAGAAAATGTCATGATACATACAAAGATACTTTGTAATCATGAGCACATGTGCTGCAGTGTGGTTACTGTAAGCTGCAGGATGGGCACTACTACTGTCATATATGCTACAGATACTGCAATATTTTTAAGGGATTTTATACCACAATGAAACCCATTTCAGTGCCTCACAGTCTTCCTGGCCCTGGCCTCCATAATGCATCTCAGCACAACCCCGCACCATACCCACAGCTGCACCCACAACAACAGTGAACCACTTGCTATCCTTCCAAGTAGACCGCATCTGCCCACATTTCCCACACAGTGCTCTCTCTCTGGAAACTGTTTTGCTTCTTCTAAGTGCAAGGAAATTTTGTGGTGTCTCAGACACCACTGCAAGGATTGCTGGTAAAATGTGCTGATCCTCTAATGACAACCACTGTGTTTCATACTGACACAACTTTCTCTGCCTCAAAATGCACTGCCTGGTCAAAAGGCTCTTAATTCCAGTCAAGACACTGGGTGAGAGTGAGAGAAAGTGCTTACACCTCTTGTCAGTATATTCAGTCTTTGCTGGCCATGCCAAGGTATCAATAAACTCCTAATAAGTCTGCCTGTAGAGAACACCATTGTCATTTCACAAACGCACTCTCGCAAACAGCTCTGAATATATAAATTCACATACAAATGTTTTGTGTAGTGGGTCTGATTTTTTTTCCCTTCCAGAATTGCCAGGAAACTCAACTGAAATATCCTTGGATCAGAGTATGCACAGTTTGTCCCCATCACCAAACACCAAAGGGCAGGTCCTTCTGCTGAGCACAGACTTGAGCCTGTGGAGGCCAGCTACCCTCAGCCTTCTCTGCCTCACGGCTTACAAGGGGATATTCATAACGTGAATGTTCCCAATTGTACTGCATGGCGTGTTCCTCAAGTGCTGGAAACCAGGCCAGCCCTTTGATTTGCCTCCAGCCTCACAGAGGCTCCATTCAGGGAGCCAACGATTAATTACTGTTTGCACACAGTTGTGCACTGTCATTGAGGCTGCATGCTGTTTGCATCCCAAGCTTGGTTAACAACTTAACGGCAGAAAGGAATTAATGCATGCAATACCATGGACTTCTCTGGTGGGAATGCCATCTAATGAGATGCATTTTCCTGTTAGAGACTATCACAGCCCAGCTCCCTTTTTATTTCATTATCCTTGACATCTTTAGCCATTGAATAATCAGCTACTTTGGGGGAAACACTTAATAGCTCTTCTTCTTGAAATGAAATACTTAAAATATGGCAACAGCACTCCAAAGAATGGAAATCAAAGGAGTGCATGGGCATTTGATATGCAGTGAACACTATGTTATAAACTTGTTCTGCTTTGATGAGCTAATTTGGCTCCAAAAGAGGTCTGAGGGGTAGCTTTTGTCCTGGTGAAAAGAGCATGAAGAGGGTGGAGAGGAAGCATGTACATTACACGCATAAAAATTGTTATATTTTCCCAGTGGAACTGCTGTTAGCCTAAAGATTACTTCAGTTCATTCCCAGTTTTTATTGCACTAGCACAGGGAGCCTTTGAAGGTTACAATATTATGTTTTTATAATAAGGCTGATTATGACAGAGCTTGATGGAGCCATGAACTTTGTTACCCAAGGGCTAAACAAGCAGACTCATAATGACCATACTGGTTAATAATGATTATGATATAGTCTTAACATTCAGGATACAAATGCTGTTTTCTGGTAGTCTGTGGATGATACAAAACTACACATTATGTAGCTCCCTCTGAAAGCACCAGCAGAACTTTTTCTCTCTGACTTCCTGAGATGCTTTCTAATTCAAAATAACATGCTACTCCAGCTAATGTCTTCTGGGACAGGTGTGAAGTACTGACAGGTTTCAGATTATTCAAAGTAATTTGGTCTCTGAGTAAAATCAACAGTTGTGTCATGACTAAAGAGACCACCTCTTTCTGCTTGCAAGCAAAAGATATCATTTTGTCTTTATCTCTAAGGTAAACTATTTTTCCTTGCGTTCAAAACATATCAAATCAGTTGGTGGTGCCACAAGATCATCTGGGATGTAAGGATTCACAGCCAGAACTCGAAGCTGCTTTCACCACTCCTTCCCACCACTGCTCACTGGCACCTCATTGCACAAACAGTTCACTGATTTAGGAGAAACCTTCTCACCAGATGAAATGCACCCAGCTTCAGACTCTGGGGCAAGCACAAAGAGATGCATTTCCTTTGTTGAACCAACTTATCCCTTTTGCTAACACACTTCAACATCACCCTTAATAGAAAATCTCTTTCTAGGCCAGATTACAAAAACTGCAATTTGCTGAGATTCCTCAGATAGCAACTGCCTTGTTACCAGCTGACATGCTGCTATACCTCAGATTTCAGAGGAGCTGACATACTCTGTCTGCTTTCATTCAGGAGTGTATTGCTTAACTATCTCACGTGGGCACCAAGTGCAGGAAGACCCTGGTTTCATCTTATGGCTGCTGAACCTGCTTCTGTGTCTACATCAAAGAACACTGGCTGGAGTAATGGGAAAAAAAAAAAAAAAAAAGCTGAACAACCCGCGTCTCAGTATTTCCAGACAATGTGACATGCTGCACCTGTCATTCAGGCAACTGCTTATCAAATTGTTGGATTATAGGTGCACAACCTCTGAGAGCAAAATTAGACTCACTTTATAAAATGAGTCCCTATATTTTGATCAAATATATTTAAGACAAGACATATTAAGAGATAAGTAATAATTTATGCAGCATATAGCCTGCCTGGTACTGGCCAATTCTACTTTGCCACTGTGCTAAGTAACAAAATGTCACCTTCTCACAGAGAGTATATCCTCTACCTTACCTTCTTTATTAGAAGTATATTTTTCAGACTAGTTCCTCATATGGCTAAGCTATACAGCAGGTGAAGATATGCAGCATATTTTTTTTTTTTAACACTCAAGTGAGCTGCATATTTTCAGAATTACAAAAATCACACAGATAGTGGAACAACCCACACAAAGTCAGGATCTTCCTATTTTAAAGCAATGCAACAACAAACACAGCTGAAGGGAAATAACAATAATGTGGGCAGCTGGAATGCTTAACAGGTTCCTTCTAATTTGTCTAAATCCATAAAGAGCTGACCAAAGGGATATCCCATACCATAGGATCACATGCTCAGCATACAAAGCTGGGAGAAGAAGAAGGAAGGTGGGGAATGTTTGGAGCAATGGCATTTGTCCTCCCAAATCACTGCTACGTGTGATGGAACCCTGCTTTCCTGGGAACACCTGCCTGCCCATGGGAAGTGGTGAATAAATTCTTTCTTTTTCTTTGCTTGCTTGTAAATTTTTGGTTTATCTATTAAACTGCCTTTACCTCAACCCAAGAGTTCCCTCACTTTTACCTGTCCAATCCTACTCCCCATCCCACTGCGGGGAGTGAGCAAGTGCCTCAGCTGCCAGCTGGGGCTAATGCACAACAACCAGTCAAAGATATACTTTTGCCCTAATAGTTTTCTGTCCAGTTCAGGATGGAGGACAGTTTACAAGAAGGCTCACAATGTTTGTCATAATTGGTCTGCACATATGTCCCAATCCAGCAAATTAAATAGGTTCTCCATATGTCAAAATTTTTGCCTATTTAGTAGCACAGCTTATTCAATCTTTCATTTCAATAAAATAAATGTGTCTCTGGGACTAATACAACCTGGGCTCTGAAAAGAAGTAGGAAGGAACCAGAAATTTACTTATTTCTGTATCTGCATGTTAATGAGGGATCAATGGGCAGAGAGAGGCAGAGGGCGGAGGGAGCCTTGCTCCATCTGTCTACTGCTGATGTGTGCAGCTGAATAAGCACAGGGAGAGGCACTAGCTGACAGTATATATCAAAACCAAAATTACTGCACCTTGTGGAGCAAAAGGAAGCATGAAAAGGGAGTCTTGCCTTACATAGGTGGTCTTTTACTGTAAGCTGTATCCTAGAAACACAACAAAGCAAAGACGCACTTCATACACACAGTCCCCAAGTGCTTAACGTAGCTGGCTATACAAACTGTGAAGTAGATTATCTGCTCTTCAGAGGCACAAATGTTATCTTTTTTTAATGTATGCAAATGTAATGTAATTGTAGATATTATGGTAGATTATTTGGTAACTGCAATAATAACTCATGGGTTCCATATTGCACTCACTGAAGTAATTGGCAAATTTCCCAATGATTTTAATAGAAACAGATTTGCCAATCAGACTCATTACTTCCTAGGGAAGCAAAAATGTCTCATAAGGTTCTACAACCATATATGATTGCACAAGACAATAAATGATCGCCATAAACATCAGAAAACAGAAAATTATTATCAATTAATCAAATGTTATTATCCAGCCTGGAGTCAGTCTAGGTCACAGAGTTAATATCTACACCTCACTGGGCATCGTTCTGCCAAGAAATTGTTTTGATGTATCTTGGCTGCCCTAACTGTTCAGCATTTGATATTAATACCCAGGATGTGTGAAAATATTCCTCAGGACTTTGATAGAGCAATTTTGGTGAAAGTGTTATACTGGCATGTGTTTGAACCCACTGGCACAACAGTAAACAGGAACTATTTAG